GTTGGCCAGTCTGGTTCCAAACTCCTGACCTCAACTTATTTGCCCACCTTGGCCTCCCAAAGTGCTAGGATTATAGGTGTGAGCCACTGAACCCACTGCCTGTATTATTGGCCTTCCATCTGGGATCATTTTCTTCTGCCTTAACCTCACTCTATTATATTTGAAATCTGATGGGTGACAAATATAGTGTTTTTTTTACCAAAAATATTTCTATACGGTTTTCATTCTTGAAGAATATTTTTGCTCAGTTTAAATTCTATGTTGGCAATGTCTTTTGGCACTTCAAAGACAAATATTCCTTTGTCTTCTGGATTTCATAGGTTCTTTTAAGAAGTCAGCTGTCAGTCTCTTTGTTACTCCTTACGGTAATCTTTTTTTCCCCTCTGGCTATTTTGATTTTCAGAAGTTTCACTGTGATGTGCGTAGGTATAAATTTTTTTTTTAAATATGCTTATAGTTTTTAGAATTGCTTCAATTTTTAGCTCAACTTTTTAAAAATCAGTTTTAGCAAGTTTTTTTCAAATATTTCATCTGTCCCTTCTGTCTCCTCTCCTTTAGAATTCCATCTCACTGTATCTTCTATACCTTTTAGCCTCCCTTGTTTTCCATCTTTTTGTCTCTTCATGGTTCATTCTAGAAAATATCTTCTCACCTAACTTCTAGTACGTGCTTTTTTGTTCTTTACTTATTTCTTTTTTTTTTTTTTTTCTGAGATGGAGTCTCACCCTGTTTCCCAAACTGGAGTGCAGTGGCATGATCTCAGCTCACTGCAACCTCCATCTCCCAGATTCAAGCGATTCTCCTGCCTCAATATCCTGAGTAAACTGGGATTACAGGAGCGCACCACCATGCCCAGCTAATTTTTTCTATTTTTAGTAGAGACAGGATTTCACCATGTTGACCTGGGTGGTCTCAAACTCCTGACCTCAATTGATCTACCTGCCTCAGCCTCCCAAAGGGCTGGGGATTACAGGCGTGAGCCATTGCATCTGGCCTTCTTCACCTATTTCTAATTTACTCTTCTACTGATCCACTGAGTTCTTATTTTTTTTATTATATTTTCCAGTTCTAGGTTTCCAATTAGTTTGGTTTTTTTCACAGGTTCTTGTTCTATACAAAATTCTCATATTGTCTTTTGTTACCTTGAACATGGTAAGCATAGTTATTTTAATATGTCTGGACACCTGCAGTCTGTTTTTTATTTTGTTTTGCTGTTTCTGATTCCAGTTTCCTTGGCTCCTTATATGTCTGGTTTTTATTTTGTTCCAAATATTATATTTGCAAAATCATCAATAGAAATAATTGGAGGCCCAAGTTTACGTTATTTTTCTCCAGGGAACAGTTAATTTTCTTCTTTTAGTTACCTAAGAACAACAGTATTCTAAATCAACCATTCCAATTTCAAGGACTCAGGTGATTAAAAGCTGAATTATGGTCCCTGTAACAGACTTAACAGACTGCCTACTTCTAATTCATCCTTATTCCTGGTGACAGGATCCTAACCCAAAGTGAGAGGGGTTTACCTATGTTTCCCCCTTTTCAGGCCTTATTTTCTAATCTTTGTCCCACTAGGCCCATGAAGCTGCCAAAATTACTACTCAGATCCCATCTACCTTCTCTGGAGTCGGCAAATTCCCCCAGGAAAAAAGGCAGTCTCAAACCTCAGTTCTCTTCCATGGCTTCCTTCCTCTCCTGTATTCTGACCCAGTAATTCTCCACTGTCTAGTTAGATCTCCAATGTCTTCAGGCAAATGTTTTGTTTATTTTGTTTACCTATTTTTGTTAACCCTCAGCATGGGTGTCAGTTTAAATTACCTAGTCTGTCGTTACTCAAAGCCCTAATATCTTCATTCCATAAATTAGCTAATTAGTTTCAGAGAGAATTTACAGGCCAGATCCGAGTGTTCTGATTTTGTGCAATGCTTATTCCATTACACTAGTACCAAATATGCAGGTAAATCTAGCATTTTGGCATTTACTGTACTCAGTGCCACTTTTCTTAGTTTATTCACCAAGAAAAGGCATTCTATTCCAGCAAACTACTAGAAAACCCTCAAGTAAACAGTGCCTCCTCCCCAAATTCCCCATCCTATTCAGTTTTTAAAAAAACATATTAAAGCCATTTTTATAAGTGAGCTACAGTTGTTCCCCCAATATAGATGCTCCATTTTAAAATCATTACAGATTTAGTGAACATTTGATCACCCATCACTATTTTTTAAAGTGAGATTCTGCTTGTGCTTTATAAAAAAATATTGATCCTCTGCTTAAATATGCCAAAATTTAATATCTAATCAAAGAGTTGGTATTCCAGAGTAGGGAAGAAGTATAAGTTACCTTCAATCTATAACAAATCACTCTAAAATATAGTGCTTAAGATAATGATTCTTTGTCATGATTCAACAGTTGTCTGGGCAGTTCTGCTGGGCTCACCAAGCAGTTGCAGTCAGCTGGGGCTAGACAGGCTAAGACGAGCTCACTCAAATTGAGTGCCTGGATGATTGAACATCTTTTTTCATGTAATCTTTAGTCCTTGGCTTCTTCACATGGTAGAAGTGGTCCAAGAGGTCAGAACCTCTCAAGGATGGGTTTCTAGAAGTAACCCAGTGTCGCTTCTGCTGCATTCTACTGGCCATGTCACAGGCTAAGTCAGATTTGAGAAGTCTCCCAGTAATAGACTCCACCTCTTACTGGAAGGTGTTGCAAGATATTGAGGTTGTTTTTCATTCTGCTGCAGATGACAAAATGAAAAAAGACAGGTATACTAGGCAGAATAATGGTTTTTTGCATTGCGACACCAACTCTCTGACATCAGCTAAGTGTCCTCCAATTCAATTCAGTTCTGACACTTAACTATCCAGAGTTAGCATCAAATCTGAAAAATTAAAGGACGAGGTCCGCAACAAGACTCTCCTCTACTTCAGAAGCCAGCTGCAAATGAGGTCCACAGAACACCTGCCTTTATGTATGACTTGGGTACAAATTTGAGGATTTCCATGACCCTGCTTCAGGTTTGGTAATTCACTAGAGTGACTCAAGAACTCAGGACCAAGCACAGGAGCTTCTGTCCCCCTGGAATCAGGGTGTACCACCCTCTGAGTGCATTCATGTGTTCACCAATCAAGAAGCTCTTCTGAGGCTCAGGATTCTGAGGTTTTGTTTTTTTGTTTTATCAGCGTTTCATCACAAAGGCATGATTGGCTACATCGTTGGCCACATGATTAAGCTTAATCTTTAGTCCCCCTAACCTGCCCAGAGGTCAGGAAGCTGTAAGTTCCAGAACATGAAGGAGTTTTCTGGTGACCAGCTCCCATCCTGAAGCTGCCTGGAGGCCCAGCTATGAGTCAGCATAACTAAGACACTCCTGTCGTTGAAGAAATTTCAAAGGTTTTTGAAGCTCTATGCCAGAAACCAGGAACAAAGGCAAGATAGATAATATTTTTTATTGTTGTTATTACTATACCATAGTCATCCCAGATGTCCACATCCTAATCCCCAGAACCTGTGAACATGATAAGTGTGTGCCCTGGCAAGGTAGAATTAAGGTTGCAGATAGAGATAAGGCTGCTAATGAGTGGGCCTGAAAATAAGGGCTTATCCTCCGTTACCCAAGTGGGCCCAGTGCTATCATGAGTTCTTCAGTGGGAAGGAGCAAAGCAGAAAAGTCAGAATGAAAGAGTGACATCATAAAAGAGTCAACTGGCCATTGCTGGCTTTGAAGATGGAAGGAGCCACCAGCCAAAGAATGTGGGCAGCCTCCAGAAGCTGGAAAATACAAGAAAATGAGTTTTCTTCTGGATCATCCAAAAACACCAACCTTGATGACACATTGATTTTTGGCTCAGTGAAACCTATTTCAGACTTCTGACCTCCAAAATGTGAGATAATAAAACTGTGTTGTTTAAAACCACTAGATTTATGATAATCTGCTACAGCAGCAAGAGGAAACTAATGCAGCAGGGCCTAGAAAAAAGCAAAAAATGATGTTACCTTTCACCATGTAGGACAGCATGATAAATGTACTATCAGAGTTTCTTTTTTAGGTGTTGGAAACTGTTATTCTGTTCAAAATGCAAGTAAATTTACATCCTTCAAATCTCTCCTACTTTTTAAATTATTTACTACCTCTTTCTACTTCTAGCCCTCAGCGGAGCTCAAAACTGCCGAATTTAACTACAGAGGATTCTGTATCTTAATCAAAGTGCATCTGTGTGTCTGATAGATAACAGATTCAGAGAAGAAAAAGAAACTCTTTACACTTATAGGATACATTTGACCTCATTGATTCATCCAGTGATAATTTATTCATTATCTTCAGTGTTCCAGGATCTATGCCAAGCATGATTTTATATTTAAAGGGGTTATGATATAATATGTGGTGTAAAACTTAATTGGCACAGAGGAAAGGATTGCTAGCTGAGCTCCTTTATAGAATCACTGATGCCTATAGATGGTTTTGGAACTTCTCTACCTACCCATGAAGTTTAAGCTCTTTTCCAAAAGCACAGATTAATGCAATAATATTAATAATGATGGCTGACTCTTAAGGAGCACTTACTATATACCAGAGCTGTCCCCATCATTCGTTAACATAATATTAACATTAATAAAAAATGTCCTTTTACATTCTCCATCCATTTTCATTGTTAGCTGCTGCCTTTTTCTATTGAATTACTCCTTCAGTTGCTTTAACCTTGTTTTCGTAAATACACAGAAGCGCGATATTTACATCTCTGTTACTTACTTCCTAGTTTTATCCCTTTTCTACCATTTTTAATAAAGCCTAAAACATAATTTAAATAAAAATCTAGCTGAATGCATGAGAACATCTAACCTTTGAATTGAAGGAGAAAGGAAGAATACTTTATTCACAAGTACGTATGCCTGAGAAATTAGAGGCACTGAGCTTACTTGACACAATTAACACTAATTACATGTTAGTGTCCCTAGTCAGGGAATTTTCTCCAGTGAACTTATCATTTGCTGATTTTTTTCTTTAGGAACCATATTACGTTCGTTGCATCAAACCCAATGACAAGAAATCTCCACAGATATTTGATGATGAACGCTGCCGGCACCAAGTAGAATATCTTGGACTACTGGAAAATGTGAGAGTACGTCGGGCAGGATTTGCCTTCCGCCAGACCTACGAGAAGTTTCTTCACAGGTGAGAATAGACTCAGCAGAGAAGCCTAATAGTACAGTGAGAATCACAGAGTCCTCCCCATACCACAATGCATCAGCACATATTAGGCAATCTATAAATATTTGTTGGGTGAGCAAAAGAATTGAGGAAATTACAAATATGACAGGTTTTTCCAGATTCAACACTAGTCCCTGAGTTCACAGTTTATGGACCATGAAAGTTTCAGCCTTTTGGAAGGAAACATGGGCATCACAGTAGAATAGAAAGAGCACTGATCTGAAGTCATGTTGGGGTGGAATTCTGACTAAGCTGCTTACTTGCTGCTTGATCATGGGCCAGAAATTTAACTTCTTTGACCCTGTTTTTGCATCTGTAAAATAAGTATAATAACACTTCATAGGACTTTTGTGAGAAATTGACCTAAATTAAAGGCCTAGATTCCTGGTACATCATAGCTATTCAATCAATGCTGCCTATCATTACTGGTGTTGGTAATTACAATAATCAAATATTAAGGAGTTAAGCAAGGAGGACCTGAGATCAGTCTGCCTGGTTTGATTCCTGGCTCTGTCATTCACTTGTGTGACAACATTCAGTTGTGTGACCTTGGACAAATCAAATAACCTTTTCATGCCTGTTTCCTCATGTGTAAAATGGTGATAATAATGATAACTACCTTGAAGCATTGCTAGAGGGTTAAATGAGATAATATATACAAAGCACTTGGAGTACTACCTGCATGTAGTAATCACTCAATAACTGTAATATACTGTTGCTATTGTTAATTTGTTGTTGATAATTTTGCTTTAATGATATTGTCATATAAAAAAATAATAATGATAATTGACAACTTGGAATCAGAAAATACCTTAAATTCCATCTATTTGTTTTAAAACATTTATTGAACATTTTCTATATTCCTGACTATAGATTTCCCTTCCAAAAAATGAATACATACATAAAATATAAACCAGAAAAATGCAGGAAATTAAATGCTTTAGATTCATTGGTCAAAAAAGAGTCTCTAAGGAGCTAACAATGACAGGAAGCAGCCAGCCATACAAAGATCAGAGCAAAGAGGAGGTGGGGCAGAGGGAACAGGTTGGGAAAAGACTCTATTGCGGTAATAAGCAAGGCATTCTAGATGCCAAACATCATCCAGTGTGGTTGGAGGACACTGACAGGGCAGTGGAGTGAGATGAGATCAGAGAGATGGACAAAGTCCAGATCATGTGGAACTTTGTAATCAGACTAAACCATTTAGATTTTGGCTTGGCATGATTTAAAACACAAAGAAATATAACCATTGGTGGATTTTAAGCATGGAGTTACACAACCTTATGGATGTCTTAAAGGAATCACTGTGGCTGCGTGTGAGTAGAAGGCGAGGAGATGTTTAGGGATGCTATTGCAGGAGTCCAGGAAAGATGGCTTGATGATAGTGCCTTCAGTAAGGGACTGCTGTAGATCTAAGATCAGTTGACAGATTTGGAATATGTTTGAGGGATAGAGTTGACAAGACTCCTTCATGAATTGGATATGATGAAACAGGATAAAGAGAAATGAAGGATGAAGAATTAGATTTTGGCTTGAGCTTCTAGGTAAGCACAGTACCATTTGCTGAGACAAAATTGAGTAAAATAATTTTGAGGAAGAGGACATGGAACAGGAGCAAAGATGGAATCAAGATTATTCTCCTGACTATGTTAACTTTGGAACATCTCTATGTTAACTTTGAAATGCATACTAAATATCTAGGCAGAAATATTAAGTAAGCCATTAGACTTTCATACCTGGAGTTTGGGAAAGAAGTTTAGGTTGCAGATTTTAGAGATTTCAGAGTCACTCTGGTAACATAGATTACACAGAAAATCTTGGGACTGGATAGAGAAGAGAAGGAGATCCATTACAATTTTTAGATTTGTGGTCTGGCATGAAAGAACCAGCAAAGAAGAGAAGCAGCAACCATTGAGGTAGAAGAAAAATCAGAAGAGGATTATGTCACAGTAGCCAAGATAAGATGGTCTTTTTTTTTTTTTGAGACAGGATCTTGCTCTGTCACCGAGGCTGGAGTGTTGTGGCGCGATCTCAGCTCACTGTAGCTCCATCTCCTGGATTCAAGCAGTTCTTCCACCTCAGCCTCCCAAGTAGCTGAGATTACAGGGGCATGCCACCACACCCAGCTAATTTTTTTGCATTTTTATTAGAGACGGAGTTTCACCATGTTGGTCAAGCTAATCTCGACCTCCTGACCTCAGGTGATCCACCTGCCTTAGCCTCCCAAAGTGCTGGGATTACAGGCATGAACCACCATGCCTGGCCAGAAGATGGCATTTTAAGAAGAAAAGTGTAGCAACTTTATGCTGCTCTTTATATGAAGTTCAAGAGCAAGCAAAAGTAATTTATGGTGACAGAAATCAGAATAGTGATTAGCTCTGTGTCAGTATTACCTCTAGCTGCAGATGGGAAAGCAGAATGGGGGAACTCTCTGAGATGGTGTATCTTGATTGGGGTGTCAGTTTCATGAGTGTACACATTCATCAAAACTTACTGAATTACATACTTCAGTATGTATATTTTAATACATGTATATTTGATCACAATTAAAAAAAATTTTTTTTTTAACTAACCTTTTTTAAAAAGTGAATTAGTGGGCCAGGGGATCAAGCTGAAGTCTTCTTCCAGATCTCATCACAAAGAAAAAAAGATGGGAAGTATTAAAGAAAGGTCTAGCCACATGTAAGGTTGATCCAGGAGGAGCAAAATCCATGTAACAGAAGCACTAGAGGAAAGAACAGCGAGAATAGGGGAGAGACACTATTCAAAGAGCGGCCAGAAATTTGCCTGAACTGAAAAAAGATGAATCTTCAGATTAAAAGGGTACATTGATCGTCAAGTGTAAGAATTTTTTAAAAACTTAAAAATACATTTGTTCACTTTTAGAATGTTAAAGAAAAATACTTATAGCTCCCAAGAAAAAAAGATAGACTGCCTATGGGGAGTGAGAATCACACTGACATCTGGCTCCTCATGGACAACATTTGATCAAGTAGGTGAAGGAGCAAAATGCCTTCACAGTGCAGGGAAAGGGCCTTCATGCCTAGAATTGTATTCTGGGTCACAATGCCATTCAAGAGTGTGAGTAAAATAAACAGCATTTTCTGACATAGCTAGTTTGAGAAAGTTTATTATTCACAGACCCTCTGAAAAATCTTCTAGACGATGTACTTCAGCAAAAAGAAAAATGAATACAGAAAGGAAACGTGTGGGATATATGCAAAAAAGCAAGATTGAGCAAAGAAATATGTAAAACTTCTGTTAAATCTAAACAAGTACTGATTGTAAGGCTGTGGAAGAAGTCTTTAGTAATAATCTGAAACTAAAATTAAAATGGGAGTGAGAAGTAGAAATAATTAAAGATTTTGTCCTGTTTATGGAGAGGATATAGATCATGATTAAACAGGGAAAATAATAATAATAGTAATAATAATAGTTGTGAATATGTTGAAATGTTTACTGGATGTTTAGATACTGTTTTAAACATTTTACATATAGTAAGTCAACCACGTGAGGAGTATATGTTATCCCCATTTTATGTGGATCATCCAGTGACAATGGGAGAAAGGGTAATATTTTCTACAGTGGATTTTTGCTTTTAGATTCTGCAGATTTTTTGCAAGTAGTTGAGGTTTGAACCTGAATTGTTGCTTGTCACTTTTTTTCATTTTCATTTATTTTACTGAGAAAAGAGAAAAGGGTTTAAAACATGCTGATAACCTTAAAAGCCACTAAAGTCTGTTAGGGAGGTAAAAACTCATTGTCAAAAACAGATGAGTTCAACTTTTTAATTAGCAAGTTCAGATTGCTGGTTTGCTAGAGAACCAGGGTCATGCACTTTACCGGCAGGAAGGCTGAGTGCCTCTCCCTGCCATGGGAGCTGAGCAGTGGGGCTGCAGGATAGCAATCCAGCTTCTGCAGCGTGCCTGAAACAAACACACCAGCACTACCCATATGATGACCCAGATGATGACCCTACTGTAATTTGATACCGCATTTGAGAGGTTTCTGATTTTGCTTTTTTTAATGTGACATTGTTTGGTATTACCTCCATCTTTATATTAAAACTTCCATTTGGCTTTGATTTCTGTCCCCATCTAGCAAGTGAGTAGGCTTTAAATGATTTCCTTTTATTCTTTCTGCAAATATCTATTGCCTTATAGTATGGCAGGCAACATGATAGGCACATGGTATATAGTAGGGAACAAAACAAAGTCCCTGCCTTCGTAGTAGCCACAGACTAGGGAGGGAAACGGACATTAAGCAGATAAACCCACAAATCAGTATGATTAGCAGTTGTGATAAATGATGTGAGAACAGAAGAAATAAAACTAGTTGACTTAGAAAGAATATTGGGGGTAGGGAGTTTGTTGATATACAAAGATCAAGAAAAGACTAAAGAATGAGAAGGAGCCAGCCTTTCAAGGACTAGGTAAAATGCATTCCAGGCAGTGGGAACAGCATGTGTGAAGACTTTGAAGCAGGAAGGAGGCAACTGCATTACAGAACTCCAAAGACGCCAATACTGAAGGAGAGCAGCCAAAGACAAAAATTATTTCAAACTTTTTAGAAAACTACTCTGATTAATGTATGCAGAATGGATTGGAAAGGAAATGGAAAACAATTTAGGAGTCTGTTATAAACTAGAAGGGGGCTTGCATTCAAATTGAAACAGTAAAGATGAGGAGAATCGTTAAATTTTAAATATATTTTGGAAGTAGAGTCAATGGAACTTGATGATGATAGAAGTAATGATAGAGAGGGGAAAGAATAAAAATATTCTCAGGATCCTGGCTCTAGGAACTGGGTGGATTGAGGTAGGAAAGACTGAAAGAGTAATTAAGGTGCCTTCAAGACCTGTGTAGACATTGGATATATAAGTATGAAGCTCATAACTGAGGGCCAGACTAGATATAATACACAAATTGAAAAATATATTTTTATATTTTATATACTTATAAAAATATACATCTTTTTGTTTTTCTATTTGGAATGTCTTATTAAAAGTAAGTGGACTAGATGAGGTGACGTGGGGAGAGAATATGTAGAAGTCCAGATCTGAGCCTTAGGACATGTCCACATTTGGGGGTGCAGTAGTAGCCAGAGTAGCCAGAAAATAAGATTGACAAGGAATATCCAGAGAGGCAGAAGGAGAGCATGCTGTCACGGAATCCAAGTAAAGAGATATGTCAGGAAGAAGGAAGTAATTAACTGTAATTAGGGAGTAATTAACAGATGCTGACTATGTATCTACTGTCTTAACAAGAAATATGAAAAGGCCTATGAATGATTTGTATTCCTTTGGGTATATACCCAGTAATGGGATTGCTGGGTCAAATAGTATTTTCAGTTCTAATCTTTGAGGAATTGGGTCTTCCACAATGATTGAACTAATTTACGTTCCCAATAATATAAAACTGTTCTTCTTTATATATAATATAAAACTGCTCTTATTTCTTCACTACCGTGCCAGCATTTGTTGTTTCTTGACACAATGAGATGGTGTCTCATTTTGATTTTGATTTGCATTTCTTTAATGATCAGTGAAGTTGAGCTATTTTTCATGCTTGTTGTCCGCATGTATTTCTTTTTTTTTTTCTTTTTTGTCAGTTTGCTGAGGATGAGGGTTTCCAAATTCATCCAGTATTTCTTTTTTTTGAGAAGTGTCTGCTTATATTCTTTGCCCACTTTTTAATAGGATTGTTTGATTTTTTTCTTGCACATTTGCTTAAATTCCTTGTAGATTCTGGATTTTAGTCCTTTGTCAGATGGATAGATTATTTTCTCCCATTCTGTAGGTTATCTGTTCGCTCTGAGGATAATTTCATTTGCTTTGCAAAAACTCTTTAATTTGTTGTTTTTGCTTTTTTTTTGCGATTGCTTATGGTGATTTCATTATAAAAGGTCCATGCTTGTATCCTGAATGGTATTGCCTAGATTTTTTCCTATAGTTTTTATAGTTTTGGGTTTTACATTTAAGTCTTTGATCCATCCTGAGTTAGTTTTTGTATAAGATGTAAGGAAGGGATCCAGTTTCAATTTTCTGCATGTGGCCAGCCAGTTCTCCCAGCATCATTTATTAAATAGGGAATTCTTTCCCCATTGCTTGTTTTTTTGTAGATACATTCACAGGTGTGTTCATTGCAGCACTATTCACAATAGCAGAGACATGGAATCAACACAAATGCCCATCAGTGATAGACTAGATAAAGAAAATGTGATACATACACACATACACACATGGAATACTATGCAGCCATAAAAAGGAAAGAGGTAATGCCCTTTGCAGGGACATGGATAGAGTTGGAAGCCACTATCTGCAGCAAACTAACACAGGAACAGAAAACCAAACATCACATGTTCCTACTTATAAGTGGGAGCTGAACGATGAGAACACGTGGACATTTGGGGGTGAATAACACACACTGGGGCCTGTCGGGGAAGGGGGAATGAAGATCATCAGGAATAATAGCTAATGGTTGCTGGGCTTAATACATAGGTAATGGGCTGATCTGTGCACCAAACCATGGCACACCTTTCCCTAGGTAACAACCTGCACATCTGCATATGTACCTCAGAACTTTAAAAAAAAAAGTAAAATAATTATTTAAAAAATAATAAAAGCCTATGAAAAAACTATAAAGATACATGTAAGGCACAAAAAAGACTAGATCAAGTGGGAAAACATCTCTCGTTCTTGGATAGGACAACTCAACACCATATAAACATTAATGGATTTGCTGAGTGCAGTGCCTAACACCTGTAATCCCAGCACTTTGGGAGGCCAAAATGGGCAGATCACTTGAGGTCAGGAATTCAAGACTAGCCTGGCCAACATAGTAAAACCCCATCTCTACTGTTAATACAAAAATTAGCCAGGTGTGGCAGGTGCCTGTAATCCTAGCTACTCAGGAGGCTGAGGCAGGAGAATCGCTTGGACTGGAAGGCAGAGGTTGCAGTGAGCCGAGATTGCACCACTGCACTCAGCCTCAGTGGCATAGTGAGACTCTTTGTCCAAATAATAATAATAATAAAGATGTATTTGATGTTTCAACTCAATAAAACTATCAAGGATGCTTTGGGTCTTTAAAGATTGTTTATTTGGCCAGGCGTGGTGGCTCATGCCTGTAATCCCAGCACTTTGGGAGGCCGAGGTGGGCAAATCATGAGGTCAGGAGTTTGAGACCAGCCTGGCCAACATGGTAAAACTCTGTCTCTACTAAAAATACAAAAACTTAACTGGGCATGGTGGCAGGCACCTGTAATTTCAGCTACTCAGGAGACTGAGGCAGGAGAATCACTTGAGCCCAGGAGGCGGAGGTTGTAGTGAGCCAAGATCATGCCACTGCACTCCATCCAGCCTGGGCAGCAGTGTGAGACTCTATCTAAAAAAAAAAATGTTTATTCACTGGATTCTGGTGGGGTTTTGTTGTTACTGTTTTTTGGTTTTTGCCTGGAACTATAAAACTTGATTCTAAAGTTCACATGGAAAAATAAATGTGCCAGAATAACTAGAAAGACCTTTAAAAAAGAAAAGAATTAGGAAAAACATTTATATGTACTTATATCCTCTATAATTAAAATCATGTGGTAGTGATGCACAGATGGACAGACACAGTAATGAAACAGACCAGAAAGTCCAGAAATAAGCACATGTGATAAAGGCAGCATGTTAATCACAGAGAGGAAGGATGGACTTTTTAATAGTATTGGAACAGCTAGACAGCCATTTGTTAAGAGATAAAATTAGATCCATACCTCACACCATATACCAAAAAACCCTCTAAATGATCAGAAATCTAAACATGAAAATGAAAACATGCAAGTACTAGAAGAAAACGTAAGTGCATTACTCTATAACCCAAGTAAAGAAAGCCTTTCATACAATGACTTAAAATTTAGATGTGATATTTTTAAAAAAAGCTAAATTTGACTACATGTATTAAACAATTTTGCATGGACTTTACGTGGTAGAAAAAGCTCTGTGACAGGCACCCTTCTAAGATGCCCTTATACCTCCTGGTATCCATGCCCTGTGTAATCCCCTTTCTGTGAATGTAGACTAGACCTCGTGATTTGCTTCTAACAAAGTAGAATATGGCAAAAGTGATAGGATTTTACTTTTCAGATTAAGCCACAAAAGACTGTGACTCTGTGATTTCTGTCTTGTTCACACTCACACTCATGAAGCAAGCTGCTGTGTGGTGAGCTGCCTTATGAGTCGGCCACATGGCAAGGAGCTGTTGGCTGCTCTTATGTAGAAATGCAATTAATTTTTATGTATTGCACTTATGTGAAGCAACATTGCTTAATTTTCTTTTAGTTATAGTATTTTTTTAATCTAGAGATCTGCTTGATTTCTTTTGAGGAAAGTTACATTATTCATAAGTAATATACATTTTGTTCTTCGCCCAGTCATTTACCAATTATGTCTTGGTCTCACTATGTTGACTAGACCTCCAGAGCAATGCTGAGTAGGACCCATGGCAGGGCCATCCTTCTTTTGTTTCTGTTTGTAAAAAGAATGCTTCTAACATTACCCCTTAATGAAAAATATTTTGCTGTAGGATTTTGGCAAATAGACTTTATGAGCTTGAGGAAGTCTCTTCTATACTTAGTTTAGTAAGAGTTTTTATCTCAAAGCCTTTTTTTGCATGTCTTATAAAGCTAATTAAATTATATTGACAGTTTGCTAAGATTTGGTTTGGTTTTCTATGAGGTGTCTTGGATTTTTATTGAATAGTTTTTTGGGGTTTGTTTGTTTGTTTGTTTGTTTTGAGATGGAGTCTCACTCTGTCACCAGGCTGGAATGCAGTGGTGCGATCTCAGCTCACTGCAACTTCTGCCTTCCAGGTTCAGGCAATTCTCCTGTCTTAGACTCCCAAATAGCTGACACTACAGGTGCATGGCACCAGGTCCAGCTAATATTTTTTGTATTTTTAGTAGAGATGGGATTTCACCATGTTGGCCAGGATGGTCTCAATCTCTTGACCTCGTGATCCACCTGCCTTGGCATCCCAAAGTTCTGGGATTACAGGTGTGAGCCACAGCACCCAGCCTTATTGAATTGTTTTCTATTGAGATGGCCATATGGTTTTCTCCCTTAACCCTGTTTCTTTTTTCATCCAGGTATAAGATGATCTCTGAATTCACCTGGCCCAATCATGATCTTCCTTCAGACAAAGAGGCTGTCAAGAAACTGATTGAACGGTGTGGTTTTCAGGATGATGTAGCTTATGGGAAGACCAAAATTTTCATTCGTACACCCCGAACATTGTTTACCTTGGAAGAACTCCGTGCCCAGATGCTCGTAAGGATTGTCCTCTTTCTACAAAAGGTAATTTTATATTTCATATGTGAGGATAAGATTTTGCTTTTATGTTCTTAAAAATTTGTTGCATATTTTCTTTAATTCAAGAAATATGGCCAGGCGCGGTGGCTTAAGCCTGTATTCCCAGCACTTTGGGAGGCCGAGGTGGGTGGATCACAAGGTCAAGAGATCGAGACCATCCTGGTCAGCATGGTGAAACCCCGTCTCTACTAAAAATACAAAAAATTAGCTGGGCATGGTGGCGCGTGCCTGTAATCCCAGCTACTCAGGAGGCTGAGGCAGGAGAATTGCCTGAACCCAGGAGGCGGAGGTTGCGGTGAGCCGAGATCGCGCCATTGCACTCCAGCCTGGGTAACAAGAGCGAAACTCCGTCTCAAAAAAAAAGAAAAGAAATATTCCTGGATAGTATGTTGTTTTGTGTCTATGCATATCTTAAAATGTTTTGTGTTGCCTTCACACATGGAAAATTTAGTTGGTTGCCCAAGCTCAAAATTACTTTATCTTCAAAACTCTGAAGACATTTTGTCTTTAAAATGTCTTTAAAGTTAGAGAGGTGTCTGAACCGATCTTTTTGTCATTTATAGTTAACTGTATTTTTTCCTTCAGCTTACATGCATAAAGGACTTTTAAATCTTGTAATTTAAAAATGTTGCCAACATGTTTGATACTACCTCCTTCACCTATCATTACCCACTCACCACCACTTTTGTGCTGATTCAATGCTCGTTAGTTGATGGTGCTGTACCTGTCATCATTGATCTATGTAAGGCCCCTTCTCATTTCATTCACTTATTCATGTATTTCTTATTAACTCCCCTACCTTTTCCCATATCTTCCATATGAACTATTTTAATGCCAAAAATTGTAGAAGTATATGAAAAATCATGTACCTCTGTGAGGATGTCCTTGGGTATATACCTAGGAGAAAAGTTGCTGGGTCATAGGGCATGTGTATACCTGATTGATATAAATAGTGCCAGGTTCTCTTGCGTGAGCCAGTTTGCACCGCCAGCAGCTGTGTATGAAGGTTACTGTGTGCCACATCCCTACCAGTATCTTCCAGCTACCTAAATTTTGTCAGATTGATAGAATGATATATTATTGTTGTTTTATTTTTTATTTCTCTGAATACCGTTGAGTTTGATTACCTCGTTAAATGATTCTTTGCTTGTTGAGTTTTCATGTAAACTGTCTTTTCAGATTCTTTTTCTACTGGAGTTGGTACTTTCTTGTTGATTAGCAGAAATGCCTTCGATGTTCTAAACATTAACCTCTCATTTACTTTAGATGTTATAGATTCTCCTATTCTGTAAGCTTTCTAATGAACTTTATTTATAATATGCTTTGTTGGACAGAATTCTTAATTTTGACATAATCAGATTCTTCAGTACTTTGCCTTGTGGTTTGTGATTTGGAATTTTCTTTAAGAAGACTTTCCATGTCTTTCAGTCACAAAGATATTCTATATTATCTTCCATGAACTGTATGGTTTTACCTTTCACATTTAGGTCTTTAATCCATTTAGAATCCACCTACATATATGGTTTTATATAGGAAACTAGTTTTATTTTTCTTCATATGGTGAAAAAGTTTTCTTAATATCATCTACTAAGCAATCTGTCCTTTTCCCATTGATTTGCTATGCCATTTTAATCATATATTAAGTTCCTGTATATTGAAAAAGAATAGTTTTATTCACACTGTTTTACACACACATATATATACACACACACATATATATCCAGTCTCTGTGCTCTATTCTGTTCCATTTTTCTGTTTGCCTGTTTTTGCACTAATGCAACACAGCTTTTTTTGTAATATACAATACTGTATTAAAGGGTTAGTTTATCTTTTCTACTTCTTTATTAAGGTTGATTAACCTAGACATAGACCTTCATTCTGCAGTATGCATTTTACTGTGCATAAGTTTATTAAATTCAATAATTTGTATTAGGGTTGAAATGAATGTAGATTAATTTGAAATGATTAACATTTCTATAATATTAAATCATCTTATTAAGAGTATAATATAGATTTACTTAAATCATCTTTATTGAACTTTAGACTTAGGCCTTATGAGTTCTTGATTAATTCCTAGATATTTTATTATTTTTGTTGCTAGTGTGAATTTTTTAATTGTATTTTCTACATGGCAATATTAGTACAGAGAAATAATATTGGCTTATGTTGCTTTATCTAAATCTAGAACAAAACCTTTCTTGATTTATGTTTGTCGATTCTGTTGGCTTTCCTAGGTAAATAATTATATCGTGTATAAATAATGAGTTTTCTCTTCTAGTTGCCAAGATGTTTCTAAGTGTTGGTTTCTTTTTATTTATTTTTCCTGGAACTCTGGAACACATTTGGACTGATATACTACATTCTGTTTCACCCCAAAACATTTTCCTTCTATTGTGTTTTTAATGTTGCTTTTCATTTAGTTCTATTTCTCAAGAATGCTTGTAAATTGTATGTTGGATCTGTTTTCTGTCACAGTAAATTATTTTCAATTATCTGTTCTCTGTTTTAAAGTCCTAGAGTATTTTCCCTTGGCTCTTAAGTACTTACTTGCAGGCTTGATTTTAGGGGTTTTTGGGTAGTTCCCCCTGTTTCCAGATCTGTTACTATGCCTTTTTTCTTTCTACCTATTCAAGAGATTGATTCAAGCTCAGAGTTAGGCTCTGAACCAGGGCAGCCATATCTCTCAGTTTGCTTGGGACAGTGGTTTATGGCAATTGCCTGTTGTGACTATTAATAGTACCCCTTTTACTTTCAAAAGTGTTCCAGTATGGATAGATAAACTGTGTAGTCACTCTCCCCTGAAACTCACTTTCTGACACATGGTACCTGGTAGATTCCTCTTCTTAAATCTACATCGATAGTTTGTTTACTTCCTTCACAATTGTCAGTGTCCTACAGACTTCAGTCTGTGGCAGCTCGGCTAACCAAAGATGGGCCCAGCTCATACATAAAAAGATGTAATTCCATGTGTGCTGCTAGGGCTGCAGCCGCTAGGGTTCTTTCTTTCCTGGTTGTCTCTGACAGCACTGTGATTCTGGGAATGCAAGGTGCCATTACCAGTCCCTAGCTCTGCTTTTTTTCTGGTGAGAAATTAGTCTCTGTCTAGGAAAGAGATTCTAAAAGAGAAGGGACAGTGGCTTTAAAAATTATCACATATGCAGTGAACGGAAAGCTGTCCAGTCTTCTCTGTGAGACAGATCTCACATTTCTTCACCATAACATTGTGGCAGCCATCCTTTTTTATATCTTTCTCTGCATATAGACAAACATAGCTGATATAATATAAAAGAGATCACAGTTCATGTGAGTGTATTTTTATGATCAACTTTCTTTTTCTGCAATAATTTTTCATCTCTTTTTTCTCCACATTTACCCTCTCTGCCCACATTTCTTCTCACCCTCTATGTGGAGAATCCTCAAGACTATGCCATTTTGATGATTCACTAGAAGGATTCACGGGACTCTGCATAGTGTTGTTCTGATGAGTAGAATTTATTACAGCAATAGGATGCAAAGCAAAATCAGCAAAGGGAAAAGGCACAAGGAGTGAGATCCAGAGGAAACCAGGAGGAGGCTTCCAAGAGTCTTCTTCCAGTAGAGTGGCACCAAACGCACTCAATTCCTCCAGCAATGGGCTATGTCAACACATGCCAAGTGTTGTCCACCAGGGGAGCTCCTTAGAGACTCAGTACTCAAAGTTTTTAGTGGGAACTGGTCATTTAGGCACCTTCTGCCTAGCATGTACCAAAATTCCAGATTCTCAGAAGGAAAATCAGTTATTCAGCACAATCTACATTATTTGTACAAACACAGTTTAAACATGGTAAACCTCTCTTATCACCTAGGGAAAGTTTTGTAGCAACGTAGGGATACAAAACTTTCAGCAAGTTCCCAGAAACCAGCCAAGGACCAACCTTCCAGGCAGACCACTGTACGGATAGCAGTCTCAGGACTGCTACATAAACTCTTTTCTGGGAACACCCATAGTATTCCCTAAATTTTAATAGACATCCTTACACATGTCTATACTGGTGCCTTCATTTCTATGCACTGGATTCCCAGGAGTGAGATTGTTAAGTTGAGGAGTATATATGGTTTTAATCTTAGGAAATCATATTTCTACTCACAATGCAAGTGAACTCTTTTCTCTAAATTTTTGACCACAGGCTTTTGAATTTTTTCCATTCTGAGCAATAAGTAACAATACCTTATTTCTACATTCTTTAATTTCCATGACTCCCCTTGAGTGTGTGCTTATTGGCTTTTTGGATTACCTCTCTTGTTACTTACTTATTCATATTCTTGGCCCATTTTTATATTGGGTTGTTCATCCTTTTCTTATGAACTTGTGGGAGCTATCTGTATATAATATGCATTAATATTATGTATTACAATTATTTTTGTTAGAGTTGCCATTTGACTCTTTTCATCGTAACCCCTCCATGTGAAAATTTTTACCCTCAATATAATGAAATTTGTCTTCTTTTTCTTGATAGCATCTGAGTTTCTTCAAAAAAGTTTTATAGATCTGGAATTTATTTTTGTATATGATGTGATATAAGAACACAACTCTATTTTGTTCTGGGTGAATAACTAGCTGTTTTAATTTTGGTTATTTAAACATTTCTCTTTTTTGCCACTAAAATTCTACCCTTGTATAATATTAATCTTCTGTACATTCATGAATGTATTCCAGGACTCACTATTTTATTCTACAGTCAGTTCCTATGGCAATACCATGCTGGTTTTGTTTTAGTGCAGCATAATAGATTTTAATATCTGAGAACCTGGCTTTAGGTGTATTTTCATACCTTTTCTGTGCCTTAAAAGAGATTTAGGCCTGGCATGGTGGCTCATGCCTGTAATCTCAGCCGTTTGGGAAGCCAAGGTGGACAGAACACTTCAGGCGTTCAAAACTGGCCTGGCCAACTATGGCAAAATCCCATCTCTACTAAAAATACAAAAATTAACTGGGTGTGGTAGCA